GGACAGGTATAGAACCAAGAGAAGGTTGTGATCTAAAGGACGAGTGTGGAACCAAGCAAAGGTTGTAATCCAAAGGACAGGTGTGGAACCAAGTGAAGGTTGTGACCCAAAAAAAGGAATCGATACATTGACTGAGCAAGTAGTACTTAGCCGAAGAAAGTGTATTTGAACCAAAGAAGTTTACTAACCCAAAGACGTGAGTATTTGAACCAAAAGAAGGTTACTAACTCACAGGGGTATTGGTTTTAACAAAAAAATTGTGATTAACCAAAAAGAAAGAGTGATTAACCAGGAGACGGTGATTAAGAGAAGCTCAATATATTAACAAACGAATTGTGGTTAATTGAGGAACGAGTGATTAACTAAAAGAAGGTGATTAACCCAAGGATGACTCGGTATGTTAACAGATAGACTGTGATTAACCGAAGAAATAGGATTGCAACTTCTCTAGAGAAGAAGGGGGTCGATATTACCAAAGAGTGAGTAATTAACCACGAGAAGGTGATTAACTCAAGAAACAAAGATCTTGAACCAGAGACACGGTGATTGATCAAAGGAAAAATTGAAATGGCATGAGTAATCAAATATCTATTTGGTCGGGAATAGGGAAACACTACAGTCTAGAGATAGATACGATTATTCCAAGCATAGAGTCATTCGTCCCTTACCCAGCATAATCAGAATGAGTGTAGGAACTCTCCACTCTCATCACTTGTCTAACACTCAGAGTATAATGCTGAAATTAAAACCGACAGACTAACAATGCAATCTTGTATAATGCTCCAATATGTTGTGTAGACCTCCAGCTCCATAGGGGACCAAGAAGAAGAAACTTTAAAGGAAGCCTAAAGAGAAGAACAAGAGGAGGATTAACCAATCGAAACAAAGTTTTGATCGATCCATCAAAGGGAAAGAACATGCCAATAATCTTTCAAGCAAGTCGAAAGATCATCAAACCAAGAATGTGAAGTAATGATTATACAAAATTAAATTCATTTAATAAAAAACAAACTTAATGCAATCAAGAATGAAATGCCAAGCCTTAACAAGAATCAATTAGCATACTCGTTAATCATGTTATCATGTAAACAAAAGTGCACAAAAAGCAACATGGTTATGCAAAAAATTCCATAATCGATAAATTGTGCATAAAAGTTGGCATACATACTTCAACCAGAGGCTAAGTAGCTCATAAAACATCCATAAATATTAAGTCTATCAAGCCATAGAAGTTAAATGAGGAAAAAAAACCAAACAAGTATGAAAAAGCCCTAAGAGCAGCTTCTGCAACAATGTTAATCGATTAACCATTTTTGTCTTGCAAATGGTTAATCGATTAACCCTTTGAAAACAACAGAATTTGCCTAAAACATAGGTGTTAACCGATTAACACATTTTGTCTAGCAAATGGTTAATCGATTAACCCTGTAGCAGTAACAGAAAAATAGCTTTTCAAAAGCACTTCCAGCAATTAAACACTTTTCTAATCATCCACGTGTTATGGCATGCAATTGTACACGAAAATTACATTAAGTAGAAACAATTAAGCATCAATTGAATCCATCAAACATTAAGATCAACGATCAAATAAATGATTGATCAATGCACATCAAAAAAACCATATGATTTACATTGTGGACATGCGAAAGTGATCAAAAATAGTAAATTGAGCGAGAGTTACCAACCTACAAGGAGGAAGATTGCCTTAGTGATTGTTGTAAGTGAGATTTAGTGACAATAAGCAAAGGAAACCATATAATTCCAAGCTTGAGATCAAATCGTAGTGAAACCGATAAAAATGTGATAAATGCTCCGAATATGAATTTGCACCAAAAAGCTTGAGATTATTGCTTGAATTGGATAAAAGCTATTGTAAATCTATAAATACAAGTAGAAATGTAGTGGAATGGAGGTTTAGCTCAAGAGAAATAAAAATTTCGATGTGAATATTGTTACACTCTAATGGTGGAAATTGAGCTTTTGTGTGTGGTTTGGGGAAGAAGATGAAGATGAAATTCATAAAATTCATAGAAAATTGAGAGAGAAGAGTGAAAGTGAGAGAGAATTGAAAGCGAAGAGTGAAAAATGGTTGGGAATGATTAAGCCCCCCAAGTGAAATGTGAATGTTTTCTTAAGTAAAAGCTAGATTTGGAGTAGGCTAGGTTTGAAGTTTGCTTTGGAGCTAGCTTTAGAGTTAGTTACATCTAACTCACTGAGTCGGAAGTTGACTCAGTTAGTTATTTGTTAACTCGGTGGGAGCATCCCAATGCAAGTTCAAAATATAATAGTTCTCATGTTTGGAAACAAAAGTGCATGGTGGTCTTGGCTGGAAATGATGTATTGTAGCAAATGCAAGTGGATTCTTGAAGTGTCTAGAATATTCCACATAACACTAGAACCAAGTAAATTCCAAAGATGTAGAAGACAAGTTGATGTCATGAAAAATGCATAAAATCTTCCAAAATACATGTGTTAATCGATTAACACATTTTGCCTAGCAAATGGTTAATCGATTAACACAACCAAAATTTGTCCAATTTGGTTTGAAGCAAGGTGTTATGGTCGTGGCTCTGATATTTGACTCTTTGCTTTGATAAATAAGCATGGAAACCCTTGTATTTTTCTTGTATTAGTTATGTGATGACTTTGCGAGGATGCGATTAATCAGGCTCTAAAGTTCTGAATATTCCTGCAATAAAACCATAAAGAAAAAAATGCTAATGCGTATGTTGTCAATGTGAATGCACATGCTCATGCAAAAAGGCAAAAGAGAGGTCAAATTTTGGGTTATGACAACTGAACCTATTTAATACTCTTCGACCTGAATGTTCAAATTGCGCAAGCTTTTCGATTATTCAAGGTGGAAAGGGATTAAATAAAAGAGTAGCTCGAGAATTTGGCCGAAGGTGACAAAAGATGAAAAGGTGAATGTGTAAAGAGATTGATTAGGATAGAAATCTGGTTGAATATCTGCTAGGGGGATGAGTCAGTCAATGGGAAGTATGCTTGATGCACACGCTATGATGTTTGATCCTACATGATGCTTGATATTATGTTATACAACAAACCAGGTTAAGGTATTATGTTGCATGTAGGCAGGGATTGTAGCAAAACAAACTCGGCAACCTCAGCTGGGGAAAGAATTCCACAAATGATGATAACTCCGCTGGGGAAAGAGCCCAAAATACCAAATTTCCAAGCAACTACCAATATTGTTGCTAGGACGAAAGAACCTGGATGACCTTCAAATCACAACTGAATCTTCTTGGAGACGATCGAGGTCTAGATGATTCTTATTAAGGGGGGCAAAAAGAAAAACCAAAACACCACCGCTGCTGGAGCTGGGATGTTGTAAGGAACTCGCTCATGCTGGGGAAAAGAGGACAAACATGCCCCTACTTAGGGACCAATTATGGCTCTGCTAGGGAAAAGAAAAGCAAACAACCTTTCTAAACAACCATGACGGTGCTCATCGGGGATCAAGCTTTTTGTCACACCCTAATTTTCAACCCTAAGATACCGTCTCTTTTTGCATCATCTTGCATAACATCTGCAGGTCATAGATTTTTTGTGCGTGTGCTTTATCACTAACTGGTTTGTACAGGGGTGTTATTTTCAAGTAGGAATAATACTCATTCTCTCAAGTATTTAAGGTCATCCTAGGGTTTCTACTTGATATAAGCTTTACTCTCATAATTCTTTCTCCATTTCTTGGGCCACTATTGGACCAATATTTTGAAGATATCTTGGATAGACCTTATGGCTGTGTCTTATTAAGATAAAGACTGGGCTTTGGTTTCTCATGGTTCAAGCATAAAAGTCATCCACCACTCTAAGGTTACAAACGATGAGTTCACAATCATTCAAATGGATTGTCTAGACTCCAAGTTACAATAGGCCGCTTGTTTTAAGTTCAAGAAGAAACATTACTCCAAGTTCAAACTCTCAAGAATCACAAAAGGTCAAGTTCGATCAAATTCAAGGAACAATTCAAAGTCAAAGAGCTTGAATGTTCAAAGTCAGTGAGAGATAGATTATTTTGAGTATTTGGAATTTTTCATTAAAATCCAAGATTTCAAAATACAAGGTGGTGTACGTGTTCACATGGTTCTTTACAAAGCTCAAACTCGACCTCACATTAAAAATGTCAAGCCCAAAACGATGACCCGAGACCTTTACAAGATCCTAGAAAGAACATCATAAAATTGCACTTAAAATGATTAATAAATGCAAATAAAAGCAGCATCTACAATGTCAAAGCCAAGAAACTCGGTAATGAAACGTCGTGTGATTATTTGGTAAAGGCAGTCTCACTAATACCCATTATTGCTTATCTGATACATGTTAGAAACAATTTATTTACATCAAGCCCTTTATACAATGATAGTACACGAGTTACAATGAAAAAGGCAGACTTGGCCCCATTTGTCTTCGCTAGAAATAAAAACGACGGAGTATCATCTCCCAAAGTCTCAAACCACATCTCGGGGAGATAAACAACTACTTAAATGAACCAATGCCAAAAATGTTAAAACACAATCCTATTCTTTGAGACACTATTGACACTGCCATGAAAACTTGCAAAACCCATTAAACCTCCTTTTTACGGCATGAGAAAACCGTCGATAGCACCCAAGAAGAGGTTGAGGCATTCGTATCTGATGCTAGAATAGAGTTTGGGTGTACCGGTTGTTTCATTGAGTACGAAATAGAATAATGTGGCTTCCTATTACCAACGTGTATCTCTATGAACTATCCCGTATTCCTGCTGTCGAAGCCAACACCCGAGCTACACACACCATATGAGCTAGCAACATCCCTCAGATCACGGATAGGCGTCCAACTCGCATTGCCATCATATATAAGAATGGGAAACAATATTTGTTATGAAGAATTGAATGAGAAACCACCAAAAAGCAGAGGTATCCATTACACCGCAAATATAACATAACAAATAAGGAACACAATTAACAACATATGGACATGGTGTTGATACTTGCTCAAAAATAAAATCTAAAAGGAACATAATTGTAAAATAAGATTGGAAGAGCTTCCCTTAACAGTTCTCCACCCTGGCATACCCTGCCAACATTTTGATTACGTGAACCTGCCTCAAATGCGTTGACCTCACTAGCATTCAAACTTGTCTTGATAGCAATGGAACATTTCAGAAGCACGCCTACAATATATCTTCATATGGGAGTAATGAAGTTAAAACTGATACCTGATGCTCGACACGATAGTTCTTTAATGGAATATCCTTTGCAATGCCACACTCGATACTCCTCCGACTGTACCCGACGTTTGAGAAATTTCCTGCAGCAAAGGAAACAATATAGATTATTGATTCATCCTGAAAACCCGTTACAAACCAACTCGCTCTTAAACCCAATGGTTCATGGCACCTATAACCGATACAGACTTCGATGGTACAAGAGACTTTTGAAACAACTGTCTCCATTGATATGCAGCAGAGATGGAGAAGAGGAACTGAGTCATAGCACATGAAAACAACATTGTCGCAGCTCAAATGGAGCAGAACACTCTCCATCCACTAAGAACTGAGTCCTACACGATTTCAAAATCAAAACAATACAGTTATTAGAGATCAGAATCTTATGGCTAAGAATTGAATGACAATAATTTAATACCAACATGTTGCAGACAACTTTCACATATTTCTGAAACTGGTTCAAATACATTCGAACAAGAATGGAAAAGAGTTTAATATTCATCAAACATAAATTAAATTCATAAGAAAGGGTTTAATAACTTCCAAAAATGATCCGAACATACCAAAGGCAAAAGAGGAAAGAAATTCAATTTGAATCCCAACGCATTTTGATTTGTTTCCATAACAATTTGTAACAATTAAAGACTCTCAAGTCATAGGGCAACTTTCAGATTCAGAAAACCCTATATATATACATACCTTCACAACATACAAAGGGCAGAAGCAGAAAACACACTTCATACGATACACATAGCAACAATCAAAGAGAAAGAAGAACCACCATAAACTAACACACACGTGATCTGAAGGAAGATCGATATAAGAACGATCCAAAGAATCTCAACAGACAAATACGCAATAGGGAATAGCAACGAAAATATGTAGGATACGTACCCAAAGCCACGTCTGTTGCCGTCTTCGTATCCAGGTTAGTACTTTTTCGCCACCTGTGGTTAATCCGTCGCTGGTTTTGTTTGTTCCCTCCGTTGTGAATCTCTTGATTTTGACTAAGAATTAGGGCAAGCTTTGGAAGTAGGGTTTGGTCGGCCACGAATCACTATCAGCGTTGATGAAGGAGCCTGCCAGCGTCAGCAGGAACCTTGGCATGGTGGATTTTGGACGCCGGCGGAGCCATGCGAGAAGGCAAGTTTGAGGACAGAGGCTTTGATGTCGTGGGGAACAGATGACAAATCTGATGACCTTTTTTCTTTTGCAAACTCGTTCGTTTATGTGGAGTTTGGTTTTCTAAAGTTTTGGGTTGGGTTTTTTTTTCTTCTGAAAATGTTACCCCCCGGTTGGTTTTTAATGCACCCTACCTTATTATTTGCTTGAATTATTAGCTTATTTAGGGTTTAGTTCCTTTAAAAAAAAACGATGATGCTAAAATTTGGAGTTGAAATCTCATATTTCTTTTTTCTATTTCTAATTTCAGTCCCAACTAAAATTTGTGAACCTCGTTGAAACCAGGGAGCTGACATGGCCGCCCGTGTCAGCTGGCACGACCCATGTCAGCACACCTGGAACAGAGGTAATGCTCGTGCAATATAACAGGGAGCCAACACGGTCGCTCGGGCATTTGTGATCCATGAGGGTATTTTGGGTATTTTCCTATTGCTGGGTTGGACCTGAGACTATATAAGACGTGTTTTGGGAAGAAAAAAAGCAACTTTGGATCGTACGAAGAAAAGACAACACAAATTGAGAAGCTCTGGAGAATTGGAAAGACAAGGAGATTTTCATGATCAGAAGAAATTGAAGATCAACTTTATTCACCAAGTCTTGTAATGTCTCTCTTTTATATGTTGTTTTGTTGAATACTATACATAGCTAAACCCCCCAATGCTAAGGGGTGTCCCTGAATTGTTTTGTAATGAACCTCTGTTGAATTACTCAATGAGATTTTGTTTCTTCCCTTAATATTTTTGTTATGCAAATTGTTTAAACTTTTAAGATCGTACAAATTGGGAACAATTTACGATTAGAGATTTGGTCTGAAAAACCGGTCGTTCATTTTGTATAATACATTACAGTAAATATTGCTTAGGAATAGGGATATCCTGTAATGATTGAAAGAAACCTCTGTCAGAATTATTGCTTGATGTCCTTCCTTGACTGCTAAGGAATTAGGGTCAAGGAAGAATATCAAAGGTTTTTCAGTTAAGAAATTTAAGAAAAATACCCTGGAGGTTCAATAAAAATTAAGGTTTTGAGGCATGTCTCGTTGATAGTACTCCAGGGTTCGTACTAAGTGTCGCTACTGCGAAAATCGGCGCCGGCTGAACAGAAAAGTCGCCACCGTGCGTTATTTATCCCAACGGAGGGAAAGGAAACGCTCAGAGTAAACCTACCGCAAAGATGGGAAAGGAATGGTCATCGCAACCAAATCCTGGATTCGGGAGTCGGTTACGCAAGGGGAAGGTATTAGCACCCCTCACGTCCGTCGTACTCGACGGGATCCACGCTTGTTTTCTAGTACGGATTGTTATTCTATCTATTCTACAGGTCAGGGGTTAAAAGAAAAGAAAATGACTCGGCAAAGTATCGCACTTTATGCCTACGTATTCCTGTCTGGAACGAGAAATCAGAGTCAACGTAGTTCGCCTACCTACGGGAAAGAAGGGGAAGGTTGCTCGCTAGGATATCGCATCCTATGCCTACGTACTTTCATACAGCATGAAAGATCAGAGCAAACGTAGTTCGGGCCACGTACGACACAAGTCTGTCTTGATTGTTTTTATTCCTTCTGAAAAAGGGTTTTTCTGATTACTGGTTCAGGCGGACAAAAATGACATTTTGATGAGTTCACATTCTTTTACGGAAGAAGTGTCTTTTATTGGATTTGAAATTTTATTGTGTTTTTCTGTTTGTTTTGAGAAGGAAGAGACAGAACTCTAACCTATGGTTGCAAAGGGAATCAAACTAACCTAATATTATCATGCATGGGTTAAGACCTAATGTCTATCATGTTCCTCTCTTGCACAGAGAGAAACAGAGATCCTAAGGGAATAGACGGAAACAGAAACAATATCACATATACAATAAAGCAGTAAAATGCATGGATGCAGCAATACAAGCGAGGCAAGGGAGTCCCACTCAACCTCGAACCTAGAAAACAACAGGCAAAAGCGAACAAAATTCGCTTTCAACCTAACAGGTTAATTAGCAAGCAATACAGTCAGGGAAATTCAAACAATACATCAAAAATAATAAACAGCAAAAAATAAACAGCACAAGCAGTCTTCCTCGACATCTGTCTTCAAGTCATCTTCAAACATCTACAAGCTTCAAGCAAACATCAGTCTTCATCTTCACAGCCTTCAAGCAAGGTCTCTATCTTCAATCCTTCAGGGCTTTTCTTCAAGTCTCACTCTCCAAGATGAGTATCAGTCAACAAGATGAACAAGATATTAAGCAGTCAATTGCCTACCAAGGGTGGCTCACTAACTGTTAACATGATACAGACAATTTTCTCTCAAAAGTTCTATCTTTTAAATACATTCACTAATCCTTCCAAAGGAAGGAGGTGGATATTTAAAAGAGACTTTGAATCATAGAGAAAGAATGGAGGCAGACAAGACCTTCCATGTTTGTGAATCAAGTTTTCTACTCTAGAGCTCTACCTAGCTCCTAGATCCTATAACCTTCAACAGCTGCCAGCAAGAATTTCTCCATCAACTCTGGGAATTAGTCTTCATTCTCTGTCTTTAATGGCTTCATCAACAAAGTCTTCAGCTCAAACCCCAAACCCCAAGCAGGCCCAATACCCCACACAGTCAAATAATAACCCTAGAGAGGGCACACCACACAATCAAGCAAGTACAAGCAATATACTAATAGTAATAGTAGAATAGGGGAAGCCTAATATTTTCTAAGGGATCTATTATCTACCCATAATACCCCTATAGTCCCATACCCCAAAATTCAAACTACAACTCCTAAAAGAAATGATTTATTACACCTATGTTATCTCTAAACCCTAGTTTTGATTCTCTTAATCACACCTAAACAAACCATCTAAAATTAAGTCCTAAAATCATGAATTAAATTTCATATGAAGATTAAAGTCCTAAGTGAAGTACTCTAAAAAGAATGGGTCCAAAATATACAAGAGTCTAGCTAAACTAAAATCAACAATATCAAGTGTTAAACTAAACATCATTTAAACCTATTTAAAAGAAAAATATACTAAAAATGCAAAAATAAAATAAAATGCTAATTTTATTATATGAAAATTTGCTTAACAGAATTATGAAAAAGATGCAAAAACAACCATTTAAAAATATGAAATTTTCAATTTGTTATGATTTTTCAAAGAATTAAAAAAAATTGAGTGAAATTAAAATGAATTAAATTGGTTATGGGTGCAATCAGCAATTATTTCAGTTAAAAATGAATGATGGGCCCAGACTGGGGGTGCGCATAGCAAGGCGCGTCTGGGCCCAGCTAATCAGAAAAAACACAAAAGGAAAGAATGACCAAAAACGGTGCAAATAGTAATTAATTCAGTTCATTTCTCGTTGGGCCTTGAAAATGGTGGTGTGAAAAGCAGTAACAACTTAAGCCCAGTCTGAGTCATAAGTGAAACGGTGCGTTTCACGTTCAGCCTTCCCTCTCTTTCTCAACTTTGAATCGTGGCCGTGCGATGCGTTTTTCAGTCAAGGTCTTGGGAATGATCCAACGGTTGTCACGTTTCTTCTCCAATGAGAAGCTAGGGTTTCAGCCATTAATGCCATGAACAAGCTCGTATGAACCAGAGTTCCACATACTCGTACACCTTCGTTTCTCCATGAAACTCATATCTATAAAAAGCAAAAATGCTCTATTTCTTCTCCTCTACACAACCATGGTCTTGGTTTTCTCTAAAACTCACCCCAGCACCAAACCCGATAGGTATAAACCTAGGGCACACTGAACTATCACTGTCATGCACTTTAATGATTCTTGCTAAATCTTGCACTAATGCATTCTACATGCTATGCTGATCATTCTAATCTATCTAGCTAAGATTAACATGCTCTAACCTAAGTGTTCTAGGTCAAAACAGTTTTGGTGCTCCAATGGTGAACTCCATGAAATGCTCTCAAATCCATCAGAAATATTCATCTAACCATTCCTAACCGTTCTAACCTAATGATTCTCTATTATTCTAACTAATTCTAGCCAATTCGATGAAAACACTAACCTGGTGTATTCTTGAAAACAGATGGAGGAAATCACCACTTCAAGCTCAACAATGCTCCAATGGCAATCAATTAACCAAGATCTTGATTTTGTATGCAGTAGT